GGCCGGGCTTAGCGCCATCCCTGCAGCGTAGTCGGTCCGGCGCGGGGGAGAGGTGCCAGCTCACGGATCGGGCTGACTGGCGTGATGCCCCGTGGCACTTAGTCGTCCTGTGTCTTGCTTTTACCATGCCTGAGGGTAGCTCATCTGCATAGTACATGCTACAGCAGTTACTAAAAAAAAAAAAAAAAAAGGTTTCTCGGGCCAAGCATTTTCTGTAGAGACTACAGTGAGAACCAAGTAAGCCACAAGTCCATTTTTAACATACACATCCCAAAAAGAACAACTAATGCATTAACTGCCTGTGCCACCTAGACCAGGATCAGTCAAAATAATTTCAGCTGTCTGTTCTATCTAAGCTTTAGTAGGCAGGGTAGAGGGGATCACAGAAGCACTAAGAGAAATGTAAGAAGACCATAATACCTAGGCTTATATCTGCTCAAGTTATTCTTATATTTTTGCTGTGCTTGCAATTAGCACATAAAGAAGCTTTTACCTGGTGTTCGTTAATGCAGATGGGATAAGTTCTCTAAATAACTCAAGTAAAAATTAGTCAGTGGGATGCCTTTAAGCATGAGGAACACTCCTGCAGGAACAGAAAGATTAGCTCACTTGGAAAAACTTAGCTGACTGTAAGGAACATATTAGCACATGAAAGGTACAGTGTTTCTTGCTGCTCTAACGAACTGTGTTTTCAGTGCTCTGAAGACACCATCAGAGTCAGAAGATAAGCATCATTTCTTAAATTAGGTGAGGATTCTGGGGGCTAGTCAGCATTTAGTCAATATAAATAACATCTTTTGCTGCTTAATATGATTAGAAGCAAAAATGGTATAATGGTTAATTTGCCTTTTTATTATCTATGAATTTATAGCTCACAATTAATGCAGGGTAAATCTCTCTACATAGCTCGCTGTTTTACACGGTTCTGTGGGATTTCAGTCCTGTGTCTCGGATTTGACCAAAAACCTACTCTTTAGAGAAAAGCAGCAGCTCGTGAGGAACATGAAAGCAGTTGTAATGGTCCCTATAGGTTTAGAAAGACAGAGGCTGGGCAGACCTTGCAGGGTTCCAGCCTTCTGAGCTGTAGAAGACCCATGACTCTGGCACTGCCAGTCACTGCATACATCTTGATGTCCAGAGAGTAGTGACAAAAGGGGAGATGGAACACGCTGAAATAAAATGTTCTCTCATTCACTGAGAGAAACAGTGTTAGTGTGATAGTGTCCAGGGATCTCCTGAGACAGGTATTGTGTAAACACATGGAACGCCCAGTCAATCTCTGCTGACTTAGGTCCCTAACACCAAGTTATTTGACATCTTTATGTTATTAATAAACATACACACTTTAGTGACATGTTTTTGCAGTGGAGGAGCTAGCGTTCTAGGTGAGGTGGACATCACAGAGAGGGAGAGATTATTGGGAACTAAGGAACAGGAATTGGGCAGAAACAGAAGGTCCAGAGGAAAAGCAAGGACCGGATATCTGAAAGATTGTAGCAGCTTGAGGAGACAAGCCAGCAATACAGTTAAAACAATTTAAAATAAGTTCAAGTCTTAGACTTGAATGGATGCAGAAACTGAAAAAGGTTCCCTTACTGCTGTTACACTGACTTACAAAGAGTGTGGAAAAAAGGGTGTGATGAATACAGGAGGACTCAAATGCCCTGAGCTGCACCACTGCTTGACCTTCTTGTGAGGGGTCTGGTGAATGTGGGTGTTTCCATTATTTTTCCCAGGGGAACACTCATATTCTTCCCCATTGAATGGAAAGGGTGTTTACTCTATCTGGGGATGTCAAGATCCCCAGGAAATGCTGTGAATAGAAACTGTTGAGGTTTTCATTGTGAAATACCAAGAAATACATTGCCGTGTGTATAGGAATTTGACCCTCTCATCAGCAGAGGAAAGCTTGGCCCTAAATAAGTGGGAGCAGATGAGAGAGCAAAGAACTGTAGAACAGCAGTATTGCAAAAGGTGGCCAAGTTATCTCTAAAGAGCGACAGAAATACAATTTTAAAATCTGCTATTGCATACAAGTTCTATGAATGAGTGTGAGTCCATTCACACTCCCACCAGTTTTGCATGTATATGTGTTGTAGTTACTCCTGATTTATAGTGTTTTAACCTCAAAAGAGAGGCTTGGTTGCACTTCCTTAAAAATTACTGTGAAGACTCACTATCTTCAGTGTGAATTTGACAGGCTCCCAGCAGAGCCTGATTTTTTTTTCTATTTTTAGAGACAGCTGTAAAGCTGTAGTCAAGAATTGCTTACATAATATTTTAATAAATGACAGCAAAGCACAATGGCATATTTTGACCTTTGGCATTAGATAAGTAATTGACAGATTAAGTTAATTTTTATTCAAGCAGAGAGACTTGCTTTTTGCTTGCTTGTGAACTCCTGTACCATCATACAAGATTAAACCACACGGGTACGTTTTAAAAATAGGTTTGGGTTTGTTGGCCTTTTTTATTTGGTGGCCTCTTCATGTGAAGGAAGACCACTCTTCTCTTCTCCATGAATGACAAGTAGCGCATGGTATGTACTTGTGTGTATGAGTGTGTGTGTGCATACATGTGAGACGAGGAGAGAATTTTAAATTTCATGACTGACATTCTAGTAGTGTTGCAAATAATTTGAAAACTCACCTAGAAAATGTCTTTGTTACTGTGCAGTTCAGGAACCAGTTTCAAGACCTATGACTCCAGTGAATTTTCCCTTTTCCTTTTTAGACGCTGGGTTATGGGCAAGTCAGAAAGCCAGATGGATATAACTGAAATGAATACTCCAAAACCAAAGAAAAAACTGCGATGGAGTGGCCTGGAAATAGGGCTTGCTGTTGTAGCAATTCTTCTAGCTATTGTAGCGATCACAATGATAGTTCTGTATGCAACATATGACGGTGAGTACACATAAAATGTCTTTGCATATACAAATACATATGAATATAGAAGTATTTTAATAAATTACGAAAAGATGTTTTAATAAATAGAATCCAGTTGTTAGCGTATAGTAAAAAAAATTTGAAGTTGCACTATATTAAAATATTGTATTAGAAAAGACTGTCTTGCATGGTATATATAGCTGTGCTACATAAACCATTAAGAAAATAAAATAATGAAGTCAGCTTAGAATTATTTGCCTGATAGTAGAAAATTGTACTTTACCCAGTATATAAAATTAGATGGTTAATAGCTGCTATATCATAACCATATTTCATATGTATGTCACGATACCAATTATCTGAAATGTAAAGCTACATCCACACTTCTTATTGCTGGACACTGACACCAAACTGCTTTTTCTAACAGGGACTCTATAAATTCATTTTTTCACTCAAAGTTGTGGTAAACACAAAGCATCTGCTTGTTCTGACTTAGCAATACTTTTGTTTGCAATTAGTGCTTCAGTAAGCAAAAAACTCTACAAAATGCAACACTGATGAAGAAAACTAAATTACAGCGCTTCTTCCATATTCCTGTATATGTATGAAAATCCTATTTTTTCCTTTTACAGGCTGTTGCAGCAAGGACTTCTAGTGAGTGTAGTCATAGTAAGAGGTTTTGCGATTCACCAGCCATACCAAAATAATTCAAAAATCATTCCTTTCAGGAATAATTTTTGGAAAAGAAAATACAGAGAAGCTAAAATTTCCATTTGGGGTCAAGCTAGAATGTTTCTTTATATTGGAAATTAAAAGCTTTGTTTCATTTTAAAGTACTTCTTAACAATTTTGTTTAAACTTTTTATTATAGTCTAGTTCAATTATGGAATGGAAAAATGCCATTCTGAAATGCAAAACAAAAAACTGTTTTGTTTCTGAAGTCTCAAAAGGAAACATTTTCATGTTCCTGAACCTTGTATTTTATTTAGAAGACTTCAGAGTGAATGTCTCAGAATTTTCATATAATTCCTCAAAAATCTTCGTGTCATTTTAAGGTATTGGTAAATTCTAACTGACTTTGCAACTGTTTTCAGTCCATTTGCTATTTTTCTCTAAATTTCTTTTTTGTTATAAAAATAATATTTTGCCTGCCTCTAATTGATGGATAGGACATTTTCCTCTGAAGACTACAAAAACTCCACATGACGAGTAACTAGCACCGAATGACCCTAGAGGGATGAAGATGATGGTATTGTTAGAGCCTGATCTTATAAATGTTCACTTACTGAGTGTAAGGTGTCCATTCGTCTTTATCTTACTGTACACTGCAATTAAATGCAATTTTAAAGTGACTGTCAGTGAAAATAGTATTTGCAGTAGATTTTATTATATTGACATTGAGTAAAGAATGAAGACTATGACTGTATTCTCTTTCAGATGGGGTTTGCAAGACATCAGACTGTATAAAATCAGGTAAGAATGAAAATATATACCTTTTGAATTAATTTATGTATTTTTAAACAAAATTACCACCATGTAATGTTCCCATTTAACTGCAGACAAGTATGGCACATGGACACATGGGATCTGCTAACTCAAATAATTTTCTTAGGACAGTTCTTCTTCAAATGTAAAATCTTGTGATGTGATATTGTCAGATCTTTCAAAGTCATCAGGGTCTGGCTAGCTTAAGACAGACTCTCCAAAGAATGCCTCCAGCTTCAGAAAATGCTTTAAGTGAATCAGAAGATGGCTCTTCCCCACACCCACCTCCAAGTCAGAATTCAGGCAGAGGTTATGTCTCTAAAGAAGGTACGTTAAAAGAAAGCCTTGACCATTGATGGCCCTTAAAGATGCCGTGCTGCTGTTTGAGGGCATGCAATATTAATCAGGTCCAAAATAAAATCTCCAGTTTCATAGCCTGACAAGGTAACTTCATCACTCAGTCACAACTGCATAAAAAAATTCTTAATTTACATCCTGGTCTAAACTCTACTAGAAAGGTACTGAAATGCATCAGAGAAATGCCAATTTCCATACTATATATCCTCTTGTAGTAGGTAGTTATCCATGCTCCCCCTCTCCCCTCACCTATAGTTCTCTTATCCTTTCTGTTTTGTCAGTTAATGCTCGTTTCCCTTTTTTGCCTAATTTACTTCTAAATATCCCCTTTCTCTTTATAACACTTCCTCCATCTCATTAATGCAGACTGATCCTAGGCTCGGAAGCAGCCTCTCTGTCTCATTCCTCAAAAGAAAGGAGCATTTAGCTGACTGTGCCAACACATATTTCAAAGGGCTCTATGCCAGCTCTGCCCAGCTTTCTCCTTTCATGCCACTTTCCATGCCCAAAGAGTTGAGAGTTCTTCATGCCCTTGCAGCAGTCTTCTCCAAGTCAGGAGGAGAGCCCTGCATTGCCAATGTGTAATCACCTTGTTCTATTTGTATACCCCTATAACAGGTCTCTCTTGATTATGCATTTTTCTGGGAAGGTTCTGAAGATGGGACTCCTGAAATCACTCTTGTGGTGTTACTTTCTGGCAGGCATTCCTCCTTTGCTTTCTCCACCCCTGTAGAATAACTTGGCCACAGTTCACAAAGGCTGTGGCCCAATCACATAGGGTGGCAAGAAATCTAAAACAGAAGCTCAGAACATGGATCATTCCCCAGCACCCACCCTGTGACCTCTCATCTTACCAAGCAAACATCTTGAATTTTGTTCAGCCATGGTAACCTCCCACTCAAAAGCATCATAAACATTCTAATAGCTATGTGTTATCTTCACGTCGAGTGGAACTCACACGTAGATTCTGTGCATCATGACTGGCCCCTCTGGAAGTTAAGAGAAAAGACAGCCCTAGGAGGAGCCAGAGACCCAGTATGTCAACAGGAGGCACAGGAAAGGTGGTGAGGAGTCATAAGGGATTTGACAGTCAACATGCAAGAAAAATGCGTGGCTTGCAAGCAAAAGTGTATGTATGTAATTTAAGTACAGTTGTTAAGGAATCTGAGGTATACAGCACCCCTTGGGACCCTTCCAAAAGGTTTTGATTCATAGGCCCATTTAGACTTGCAGACATGCCAGAAACACAGTAGAAAGGTCATTATATTGGTTTCCTTACATCTGTGGGACTACTCACTTTAGGTCTCATTTTAGGCAGTAGCCAAAGTAGCTGGGGTAATTGTCCCCACACCTCAGTCCTGCTGGAGTCCATTGGTGAAGCCTCAGTGCAGTCCATTGTCTCAATAACTGCATATTGTCATCAGCACAGCCTAAATATCTTAGAGGATTTATTTCAGGTAGTCACCACTGTCTTTAGTTACACTTCTAAGGTGCTTTTCTGCCACCAGGAAAGCTCATGCTGTGGTTTGAAAAATGATCAAATTAGTTACCAACCTGATTTTTTTTAATCTCTGAAGATGCTAATTTTCAGCTATCTGTTAAAAAGAAGTTCAGATAGACTACATAATGATGAACGAACTCAAAAAGCAGTAGAAGGTTTGGAGAAATGAGGCATAATGTAAACTGAAGATCTAGCTAGAAGTGGCTAAATGAATTAAGCAGAATAGTTTTACGCTTCAGTTAAAAGATTTAACAGCATGCAAATATTTAAGGAAATAAATAAACATTCTTACTGAATGTTAGATTCTCAATACAGGAGTAAAATTGTGAAAGGATTACAGTAAGGACATTGATGGGGAAAAGTGGCAGGCTTACAAAATTCCATAACAGGGTGAAGAAAGAGCTTTTTTTAAAGATACAAATTGCCTCAATTCAACAGAGATAATCATGGAAATATAAAATCAGAAAAAAGGGTAGATAGACCAAAACATCTCAAAAATAGGAAGGTACAGTGTGGTTCTAATGTCATAATGTCTTTTCATTTTTTATTAAATACAGCTTTATTTTATTCATACATTTATCTCATTTACTCACTATCATCTGCTCTATAGTCTACAAATTGTCTAGGTCAAACATTTAAAGATTAAGTCCTAAAGGAATGGTGAGAATTCAGTCTCAAAACATGTGAAATATATGAAATACATATAAACGTATTCTATGGAAGTGTTTTCTTCTGGCAGGAAAATGAGCTAATTGACATCATAGAGCTTTTCTGTAATCCACATTCTGCTGTCCCTATATAGGACATGAAAACTGATTCACTGCAGACAGGGGGACTACTCTTGTGAGTAACTACTACTATGTGTGCAAGAACTGCACACTCCAGCCTGGAACACACAAAATTTACAACTGCACAAAATACAGCTTTTTGTATTTTACCAGGTGTTAATACTTGGTGTTTACATACCGTACTGTAAGAGTCCTGAGAGGCAACCAGTGTATCTGATTAAATTATAATCTTTATAATTAAGTTTTAGCTGTAGGGCTATACCTCAAATAAGATCTAAATAGATGCAAAAGCAATGATGTCAAACTGGAACACTTTCTTCTGACCTTATGAGCAACCTGGGCTAGTGGAGGGTGTCCCTGCCCATGGCAGGGGGTGGCACTGGATGGGTTTTGAGGTCCCTTCCCACCCAAACCAGTCTGGGATTCTATATTATGGTCTGTAGCAGTAGTATGTGTTTCGGCCTAGCAAGGGTCAATTGCCAGAAGCAGCTGAAAATCTGCATGGTCTGTCTGTTGTAGCAACGCAACCTTACAATGCAGGAAGCAGTTAGGATCAGGGAGCCCCAACATGAAGTTTGGATGTGCTAGTCGTTACAGAACTGTCAGTTCCAAATACTGTGTCTGTCTGTAAATGATTTAGAATGGAATGCTCTAAGCAAAGTTGGGAATTACCAGTTTGAATTTAAAATTGTTATTTATCAACTGAGCCAGGATTTCCATGTCCCACCATGGTATAATGCATTTAAGGTAGAAATTGCTATAGAAGTGTTGGGTCTTCTCCACACTTATATGGCCCTTAAATGAAATGTAGTCAGATTATGAAAAGGGGAGGCAAGTGTTGGTAAGGATGTAATCACCCAGAAGACTTTTTCGATTAGGTGGTCACTAGAGTGAGTGAGTTCTCGGCTCTGGAAGCAGCACACTGTGAATGAGGAGTCCAGAATGGTTAGCTGGCATCTACTCAGGCCTACAGTGCTTCACAAGCTTCAAAATTTGTCAGAATTGTATAATTTAATAACAAATTAATATTTTTAAAATGCAATGTAAAGTGCTTAAGCCAGAGAAATAAACTGCATTATTGGTGTTTAATAATAATCTCACTGGGATGAATCTACAAGTTTAATATTACTTCATATCAGGATTTTGTAACAGTTTCATCTTTAATTTGGCTGCTTCTTCCAGACCATGTAGGATATCATACAGGAAAAGTTAGATAAATACAGACAGAAAGCAAGAAGTATTAACTTTGGAAAATTTATTGTGGTCTTTCAAGAAATATAATTAGGAACAGACATTAAGTGAAATGGTAATGCCTTACACCACAACTGACCAATAACGTGACAGGTTTTTGCAATGAATTTCAAAATTTTGCATTAGGTACAAGCCACTGAAAAAGAATCAAGTGAAGATACTGACAGAATTTAAAGTACATTTAATAGAAGAGTTTCAAATAAATGACCAGAAGAAAAAATGTGATGAAAATTCAATTGGTTATACACAGGGTAAAATATCAGTAACTGCATGATAATGTTATCAAGGTTTGTGAAATCCATTGCAGTGTAGCGCATGAAGATGCTATGTGATTTGTACATTTGAACATTTTTTGAATAAGGTGACATACTCTCTTCTAATCTTCCTGAGCTCAGACAGCACAGACTCATGAGAATAGGGAATTCTGCTCTCTCTCCTATCAGTTTCACCTAGGTAAGCATATTGTGTTTCTGCTATATCCTCCCCAGGTCACTGGTTGTTATGTTAGCTTATATTACTTTATTTGTAAGCTATTAAAGCAACAACAGGCAATCAGGAGTACTACAATAAAATTAATCATTAAAAGTAATTGAGATAAAACTACATTCTTCAGTGACAGGAAATTGAATAAACAAGTGCGAATAGGAACAAACCCAAACACTGGTTCATCAAAGCAATATTGAGGACTAATGAAAAGTATACCATGTGTTATCTGTATTTTTATATGTATAAATTAGCCTGTATTAGAATGAAAAGAACAAAATATTCATCAGTCTCACATTTCTTATTTCCAGAGCAAAAATGTCTCAGTGCATACAGCCATGAACTTACCATAAAGCTTCTTTGGGCACAACTTACAGATAACTTAGAGCATGTTTAGGATTCTGTCCAGCCTAATTGGTCCCACTGACTTTGAAGGGGCAATTCATGTGTCATTATGCTTCTGGGCTTTGTTGATAACAAAATCACATTTCATTGATTTTAATATATCTCTGGTATCGGCCAAATAATGAATGGCTATCTGTGGTTCAGACATGCAAATTATGCTCTTGAGGAGAGTATTTTTCAGGAGAATATTTAATACATGTATTTTGCATGAAGCCCTAAGTGAAAGACTACAGTTCCCATGACTGAGCTCTTTCATTTGCAGTATTTAAACTTCAAGTTTTGATAAAAGATGATTAGCTAATATTGGCTAGCCTGGACTTCACAGCAGCAACGTTATGATAGATGCTTATTTTTGTGTCATAGTAGTAGGCAACGAAGATTAAACAGATGCTGACTACAAATAGAGCAACCTGATTCCACAGTTAAAGGAAGGTTTGATATTACATAGACTGTTAATAATTGCTCAGATTTATGCAAGATATGGATTTCTCCTGGGTTTTGTTGTTTGGATTTTTTCAAAAGTGATCAGACAGTGGATAAGAGCCATCTTTTCTTGGTGTCAGAAGATTTCTCTACCCTACCATTACTTTTTGGCAGGGCTGGCACACTGCTCTGAGTGAGCCAGCTGTGATGTCTGGTCCTGGCCCTCAAAGTCTTTGTTGCTGGACTAACACATTCCAAGATAATCCAAGGGACAGTGTTGCCCTTCGGATGCTGCTCCATCCTAGCAGAGAGATTCATAAGGATACCCTTAAAACAGGACATGTTAGGAATAACTAACATCTAATAACAAGTAATCGCAACTTCCCTGGCAACCCATTCCAGTCTTTGAGCACCCTTATAGGAAGAAATTTTTTCTTAAGTTCAAAAGGATTTTTTTTTTCTTATTTCTGTATATGCCCATTGCCTCTTGTCCAAGTTGACAGGCAGAAGGGAAATTCCTTACTCTAATAGACTGGATGGTATGACTGGATGCTTAGCTTTCTCAGAGGGTAAAAAACAAGCGTCAAACTTAGTAAAAATGTGGCTGAATTTCACGATCTCTGGCTGTTGGCATGATCCTTTCAAATTGAGGTCAGCCTGCCACTGACTTCAGAAGGAAAAGAATCACGTGCTAGGCATTGTACCTATTTCTGCAGTGGTTTTTATGCTGCTTAGGCAGTCTAAAATGGAAATGCCTGTGTTCATGGCTTTTTCCATCTTCCAAGCACTGGAACATTGTAAAACCATCAGATGTTGGCCTAAAATATAACATTCTTAAGCCAACTGAAGATCCCAAGAAAAACCAGGGGAGAGACAGATCAACATAAATACTATAGACTGTCTGTCCTCCTCTCATTTCCACCAGCATAAAAGACATGGAAAATATTGAAAGTACTGGAGAAATAACTATAAATAATTGACTCGCCCATGTGGGAGGAATGAACATTTGCAATCACAAGCCTCACTGTTTACTAAAAATAATGTCTGATAAATGGGAAGAATATTCAGTATCCTGGGAAATTCAGAGGTCTCACTAGCTCTTGCTTGACTCCTAGTATCTCTCCTTTCTGGGCGAGGCTTTGTGCTAGCATACTAGTGGTGAAAGCAGTCTAGGTGGAAGAGAAAAAAAAAAGCACAGAAGGTTTATGAACAGCAGCTGGGAAATTGTCAT